CTATCTCTTTCAGTTACTAAATTTGAAATTTATAACCGGATTGCGTTATTTATACTTGTAATATATTATTTAATAACAATAGTTTATTTTCTTGTAAAGTTGAAAGATATTTAATTGTAGAATTTAATTGTAAAACTCTATAAACCTTTTTAATTAACGTTATTATTAGCGTATAAAATGTTAGAAATAATCTCCAATAGTAATGAACTTCTAAAATAAAAATAAAAATTAATGTAGAAACTAAAATAATAAAATACTGTATAAACCGCTTTTGTATATTATAGATCGAGTAATAGCTCAGTTAGGAAGATCTGAGCTTAGTTTACCTTTGGTATTATTTGAAAGGTTGTGAGTTCGAATCCTGCTCGTCTCACTTTCATTTAGTTTGTTTAAAAAAAATCGGATGGAATTATCCCCGCCTTCCTAGTCATAAGAGGTGTTAAAGATGATGTCAGGCTTACTCTAGTCCTTAGCTTACCCATAGGTACACGTGACTAGGCACGTGTAGAAAATCTCTTTCTTGGATTTAGTAATATTAGTCATGATATTATTAAGCTAACTAATAAAGGTTCATGAAATTGGAACCTTTATAAATTTAACTGACCAATCGCTATCTCTCTTATTAAAAATTCCGGCCTCACAACGCCTTATAGGCAGCCGACCGGCCAATCGGCAGAGAAATCCAGTATCACAAGTAAGACCCTTCCTCTTCCACTCTTGAACCTTCAAGATAGGTTGAAAGAAGAATCATCCGGCGCATACTTGAAGCAACCGAAGCGTAAGATGGGATAAGGTGAGGCGGGGTCTCAGTATACTAGCCAATCAGAAGTAACGAAGTTCACTAGAACGAAAGAAGATAACGATAAGAACGGACGACAAATATCGAAGCAACCACGGCTCCTTGAGCTTCTATGGTAAAACGGGATGAAAGTTCAGACTTAGGGTTACGGTTGGAAATGGAGAAGTTGAGGGTTTTTATCTAGTATTCAACAACACGGTTTTTCTCTTAGACTAAGAAAGGAAGCAGCACCGCTTACCTATTAAGTAGACTATATAAATAGTTTAGCGTGATAAGATAATATATATATATATTATAGCTCTAGATTATAATTACAACGAACGCATCCATTTTGTCACAGGTTGGCCTTAGCTATATAATGTCCATTCCGAGTTCTGCCTTGTAAGC